GAAAAATAAATTGGATACAAATTCTACAAAATGCATGGCTATGCATGAGTGGTGCGAGTTGGCTGGGTGGCTCGGGTGGATTGAACGGCACAAGCCGAAAGCCAACATGTGACATGTGCGGCAATTAATGCCGTTAATTATTAAAGTTAACACCCAAAAGCGACATGCACAAGTCAAATAAATAAACACGCAGCCTACCAAACGAGTCATTGGCTTGGCACACACACACACACACACACACACACACGACGCCTGGCAGGCTTCCAGAGCCCAAGCTTGTTAAACAGCAACAACAACAACAATACGAGAACAACAAAAAAAAAACAAGTAAAGACTGAATGAAAGAATGGAAAGCCCAAGCCCCAAAATGAAAACCCAAACGCCCCAACAATTAAGGACAATGCGTGCTAATTTCAAACGAAAACTCCCAACGTCGCCAACTGAAAAATACCCAAACTGAAGGAGCCGGCGTAGCAGGGGGTGGGCAGCAGAGGGGGCCTAAGTGGAGCAGAGAGGGACTGAAGAGGCAGCAGCAGCAGCAAAGAGGTGTAAGAAGCAGCGGAAAAGAGAGAGAGAGAGAGGGGGAGAGATAGAACAGGTTGTGCGAGCCAGAGCAGGAGCAGAGAGGGGAACGAGGGCAGCAGCAGCGGAGCGCCAGTTGAGGGAGCTGCGCGGCTCAGTCAGTAATAATGATTTTTATTTATAAACTGGCGGCAGCAGAGGACGCCAAACAGCAGCAGCAGGAGGAGCAGGAGGAGCAGCAGGAGCCATGCGTGTCACATTGGGATTATGTGAGGCGGGAGGGGCCGTGGGGTGCCGACTGGGGCCGAGTGGGGGAGGCAATGGCGCTCATAAGCAGGACAGTTGGCACATAAATAATTTACACGCCTGTGCCGCAAGGCTCATATCCTTGTTGTTGTTTTTGTTGTTAAGCACTGCTGACATAATTTTATAAACTAACACACACACATACCAATACACACGCACTCACCCATATACACTAATACGTATATAATACTAAATATTTTTAGTTTTTGACATTTTTTGTTGTTCTCAGGAAATGGGCGAAACGAACAAAACTTTGTTAGTTTTTGTGCTGCAACTTTTTTTTAGTTGGCTTTTACGTGTTTAGTTGTTGTTGTCGTTGTTGTCGACATTTTGTTTAAGGAAATTATATGAATTTTTTTTCTGTCTGAGTTTTTAGAAGGGTTAACTTTTAGACAGAGCGCAGCACAGAGATATAGTTGAATTATATAAATAGGCAAGCTCATATCGATTTTTTTTTTTTTTTTAGAGTTTTTATTTTTTATGTTATTTTTTGTTTATCTCTTTTTATTGCGTGTCAATCAAATTATTCAATTTGGTGAGCTGAGACAAGGCTTAGGCATTCTTGGCCTTATTTATCTATATCTCTAATCTATCAGCTCTACGCGATTCAGTTTAATGTTTTGCCATAAATTCACACGTGTAATCTTTGGCTGCAGCTCTTTGATTGATATGGAAAATGATCCCCAAGCATAATTAGCTGGAGAGATCTCAAATGCCTGGGCTCTTGGCATTTGCATTAACAGACTTTGAGCTGATTTTGTTTTATATATATATGTATATGTTTTTTTTATGACCAATCGTTGCATGTGAATGCGAGTGTGTGGGTTGGCTCCCCTTTTCTGTCGGAGTATTTGTTTAATATTATTGTGATTTTTTATTGCTCTTGTGTAAACAATAAAAGCAGCTGAATAAAAATACTTTTTCTTCATCTGACAATGACCAAAATTTCAAAACCGGCAGCAATGATCATGCCGATGGTGATGATGATGTTGTTGATGATGATCGCATTGCCAAGGCGTTCATTAGTTCTCATTAAAGAAAGGGCAATGTGAGGAAAACAGAGATCGCATGAAGTGAATGATAAACGCATTTATAAACAAAGCATTTTTCAACCGAAACCATAACGAAACGAAAAACACACACACACACACGCACACACTCTGGAATTCAGGGAATGAGCGAAAGAGACTTTTCGTTTAGAGAAACGGGTTTGTGTTCCTCTTCTTGAACATCTTAGCCACGGCTCACTCGATATGTCCACTCGTTGCGCGTCTCGCGTTGTCTGCAGCTAATGAACTCTATTAATAATGATGGCATGCGATATCTCACAGATACAAAAGATGACCATAGAAAATGAGCACACACACACACACACACACATACCACTTGTATATATGTGTGTATATATTTTGATTTGATTATTGCAATAATTTTGGTCGATTGGTAGCGCTGGGGTCGTGGGTGGCCCCCAGAAAGCGAGTTAATTTTGTTGATTGGGCCAGCGACACGGTCGCAGCGGGCTCTTATCTTTCAGCTTTTAAGCACAAACGAGCCGCAAATGAGGCGCGACCATGTCAAATATCGATAAGCGCACGAGAGCCGCTTTCAGTCCACTCATCAGTGTGCGTGGGTGTTTACATGGAGGGCCATAAAATGTATCGATAACAAAGTGCGCTATTTGTTAAACGTTTAGCCAATCGAAAGGCAAATAACGATTGCTACAAATGAATCAGATGTCGTCAATATATGTTTGTACGTGTGTATGTAGTAACTCGAATCATTGTCTATCTATATATATATATATATACATATATATATGAGGTGCTTGCATTCGATTTCTAATTGGATTTAGTAACGGGCTTTAAATCAGCTTTATATAATGCTTGTTGAAAATCTAAACAATTGCAATCGCACACGCATGAGAAGCACATAGAGAGGCTGTCAGTAGCAATGGCCCTTTGGGGGGAGGGAGATAACTTATTTGTTGTGTTCGGCGTCCGGCGCAAACGAGTGCATTGAAGTGCATTTCAAGTACGCTTCGAGCACCCGCAGCAGCAGCTGCTAGAGCTGAAGGGCGTCGGAGGAGGGGCAGCCGGGAGGCGGAAGAGTACGTGAAGTGCAGACCATAAACTTGTAATGCTCAATGGACAAGTGTGCAGAGACCCTTGAACCAATCGCTGTTAGCTCTCATGTTGTTATTTTGTTGAATGCATTTTTATAACAATTTAATTATATTTATGTCGTTTATAAACGTGCCGAGAATGGCAGCTATTAGGGTGGGGATGGGGGTGCGGTGTGTGGTGTGCGGTGTGCGGTGTATCGTAAGGGTGGCTTGCAAAGCTCATTCAAGCCAAAGTAATGCAGAAGGAAGGAGCACAGCTCATGTTGTCCTTGCGCTATGCCAGCGATGCGCTCGGCCCAAAGCCAATGTCAATGCACATAACGGCGTCCATTACACGCAACAGCAGCAGCAGCAACAACAACAACAACAAACAACAATAATAACAAAAGAAAATGGCGTCTGGCGACAATATGCGTGTGTGTGTGTGTGTGTGCGAAATTATTTTTATTATTTTACACAATTTTTATATGAAAGTCAAATGCGAAACAAAAAAAGGAAGAAAAACAACTTTACAACAAGGCATAAATATTTAGTATATTGCAATTGTTATTGTTATTGTTGTTGTTGCTGTTGTTGCTGTTGTGGCTGCTCTTGTATTTAATGAGATTTTTGAACTTTTCGAAAAGCGCCTCAAGCGCTGCCCTGTCGCATGCACACACATACAAAAGTCTTTTTTTTTTTTTAACACTGTCATTCACATATATATTTATATATTTATTTTTATTTAGATGTATATTTGTCAGTTTGCATTTGAGCATTTCTTTTGGCCAAAATATTAAAAGCAACCAAAATGTTTAAATCAATATTTACTTAAATCAAAAATAATAAAGTGTTATTAAAATTGAGCGTTTATGTGTGACAAACTCAATTTTTATTATTTATTTAAATTTTCTTATACAAACATTAAGCTATATAAATGATGCAGGCAAAACATATATTTTTCTGTTTTGTATTAAAGCTGAAACTGTAATATTTTTAAGTTAGAAGCAAATCGAAATTGTATAGAAGTTCAAATTTTGTTTACTTTAGTGCGTTAGCTCAAAATTACATTTTATTTTAGGCTTGGCATATAATGAAATGCAATTTTTTTTTACATTTTTATTTTTTATTTTTACTTATTTTTATTTTTTAAAATATAAATATATTTATTTTTTCATTTTTGAATAATATAAATATACAAGAATTTATGAATAATTATGTAAATATAGTTTTATATCTATTTACATAAAATTAAAAATATCCTTAAATCAACTTTTCACTTACACTAAAAATAATAATTTTTTATTAAAATTAACTTGTACCATTTGAAATGTGAACCAATTAGAAACTAAATAGAACAATAAATAACATGGAAGTCGGGCGTTATCGACTCATTCACTCATTCATTCACATACTCATTCACAACCATTCACGGCTAGCAGTTGCACTTTTTGATTTGCCACGCCCCCAAATTGCTATTTATATATATAGCACAAGACAGATGGACAGCATAACGAACATTGCACAAAACCAATATACTTTTTCTACTCTCGTGAATGAGTATAAATATGCAAAAAATTCCAAATTTCCAAGCCACACATTGCATTAGGCAAAACCAAATAACCAAATGGTTCGCATTGCGATTCGAACCAAGCTTTTACTTAAATCTGTCAGCTCAACATTAAATTTAATTTGAAGTCTAGCAAATAATTAAATGCAAATTTTTTCATAATTTTTTTACCCACTGCAAATCAATAAAAAAGCATAAAAAAACGTATCTACAATACAATTAATATATGTTTTTTTTTGCGTATTTTCATTAGTTAACTGCATTTAATTTCAATTTGCATTAAATGCTTTTAACAAAGTAAATGAAATCAGCAGAAGACAGCAAAAAGTTAATTTCAATGGGCAATTAGCACGAATTATTTGTTAATAATAATAATAAAGGATTTTTAATTGGCCACGATGTAAATGTGTTTATCGAACTGCCGTTAGCTCTTAAGTACTTGAGAAAATTAAACAAATTTGAGCAAATCTAATCAAAATTTTTGTTTATTTCCATTTGCAGCTTTAACTCGTGCTTGAAACTCAGCTGACGCTTTGCAAGAGCAAAAGGTAAGTTTCATATACATATATATATATATATATATACTATATCTGTGGGGCTGTCATTGCCAGAAAACATATTTCTCACGCACGCAGACAAGGAGTGGAAGAGAGAGAGAGAGAGAGAGACAGAGTGAGAGGAAGGTAGAGCGGCAACTGCTTATAATAATAATACGATTTATCAAATGCACGTAAATTACAATAAATTAAAGACGAAATTAATATTAATGACCAAGACTGGCCGAGACACACGCACACATAGATATGGCTGTGTATGTGTGTGCGTGTGTGTGTGTTTATCTAAATACAATACATGCATATGTATGTAGATACATATGCATATGCCTAGCTTCTGTGCTGCTTGTGTCTTCTGCCTTTCGACTCGTTGTCCTTTAGACAATTACCAAATTAAGTGCATGCCTGTGTCTATAGCTTTCTCTTTCTCTCTCTCTCTCTCTCTCGTTCTCTCTCCCTGTCTGTGTTGAGATCTTAAATATGAAAATTGTTCTTTTGATTGCAAATTCGCCTATTTGCATGGCATTTGGCTGAGCCCTAAGAGCGGAGTGACCGCAGCTAATAAGCTACGGACTCTATAATAGCGGCAAAACTGCAGAGCCAACAAATCGTCAAGCGCTTGAGCTAACTGCCATTGTGTGGGCGTGGCCATAAACTCGGCCTGCCTGCCCAGAGATGCGCAATAGCAAAGACCTTAAAGTGCAGACATTCTAATTGTTCATTATATATGCAAATTTCGTTTGTAGTTATATAGGATGATAAAGCTTAATTATTGCTCGTGCTGATTTAATGTGGATATGTTTATATATTAGTAATAATAATACTAATAAAAATAACAATAATAATATTAATAATAATAATAATACTAGTAGTAACAATAATAATAATGCAGTCGAGTCTCGATAAAATCGAAAATCGCGATATATTGTATAAAAGAAAATCGATCTTCTTGTAAGAAATTAGTTCTCAATTATTCTCGATAATTTGAATTTCTGTGTAAATCGAAAAAAAAAAAAATATAAACTGATCCCCATTTCGAATTATCGGAGTTCTACTGTATATTTATATGTAAACTCCATACTTTGACTTTAATTTTTAATTCCTTATCAAGCTTCAAAATGTTCTCCTTTTCTTTTGCGCAAATCAAACGTAATATATATTTAATATTCATTTAAACTGCTCCTGCAACGGCTTCATTCATTTAATTGCAGTCCCCATTTCACATTAAAGCGAAAACTCAAAGAGCTGCCTCCATATATAGCCATTGCGTATACGTAATGTGATAATACGTCTGCCTCAAACGATTTGCTGATGCATATATATATATATATATATATATGCATATACATTTATATATATGCATATACATTTATAGGGCCGTAAGGGCTCTGCAATGTGCAATGTGTGCTCACATTAGATCACTGTTTAACATTATCACATATCACGCTTTTGTGCGTTGAGTCACTGGATATCGTTGGCGTGCAGCTCGATTGGATTGGATTCTTGCTACAGCTGAAGCAGGCGAATTTTGCATATTTGATGAGTCTGGTGTGGTGGCAATGCAGTCAATGCTTTCTCTATATAACTGCGAGTGTGTATGTGTGCGTTGTGTGTGTGTGTGTGTGTGTGTGTGTGCGTGCGTGTGTGCTGTATGCACCTGTGTCTGTTGCTGAGTTTTCGGGCTCATTGTTGCTAGCTTGTTGAGTTGCAATTTGGCTAACAAATTATGCAACAGCAACAAGCCAACACACACAAAGACGCAACAGCAACAACTACAACAACAAGTGACCCAACTGCGCCCCAATTGCTGGGCCCAGGCTTTGCTGTGTGGGGGCCATTGACTTGTGTCGGCCTCCATTCGTCCGGCTCTGTTAAATAATTGTAATTTATGGCATTTTACACATATAAATATATGGAAATCAATAAATTTAATACACACAGTGAAAGAGAGCTTGGTTAGAGGGTAGCAGAGTGGTTGGAGATGGGCCGAGTGGAAGGGGGGGTTGGTTGAACATAGTTACACTTGCATGGGCAATTTCCCCAATAGACCTGCGTTCGGTTTGGCTTTTTGGTCGGCAGTTCATTTACACGCACTATAAATTGCATTTGGCCAGCTCCCCAGCTGCCAAGCGCTGTCCTTAATGTGCCACGCCTCCCCACGCCCCCTCTCTCTCTGTGTGTGTGTATTTCGAGTCATACATTTTTGGTTATTGTTATCGGGCCTTTAACAATTATTTGATATTGTCCAATTTGGATTTGAAGGTAAAATGTGCATTGCCATTAAATGCACCACCACATCACCGTCCCCAACGTCCCCCCGTAGCCACCATCAGACCGCTGACCCATTGGGAGAACTAGCCCCTAGGCAATTTTTACATTGCTCTGGCTGCACCTTTTAAATATGCACAATATTTTGCATTTCAATTGCGGTTTTTATACACACACACACACACACAAATGCACACATACACATATATACATGCACAGAAAATGTAATAACTCTGTCAATTTGCGTTGTGCCTGCGGCATCTCATTCATGGCGTGTTGACAAATTGCGAGAGTTGTTTGAAAAGTTACAATTCGAATGTAGCGAGGCCTAAAACCTATATATAAAATATAAATATATATAAAATATAAAAATATAATATAGGGTATATATCAATAAAAAAAACGGAAACATATTTAAATATACATATATTGTATATGTAAAAGCTATATTAATATTAAAAAAATAAAAAATTATAAATATTTCTAAATTTAAAGGAATAAAATATATAATATATATGTATATGTATATCTTGGACTTACGAGTTGGAGTATCTCTCCAATGTATTTTATATAAAATATGTATATTTTTATAACATGGTCTTACGATTTGAGATATCTCTTAAAAATTCAACAATGAATTGTTTAAAATACGGAATACAAACGCAGGTTATACTTGTGTATATATTTTATACTTGTATATATTTGATATATATGTATGTTGCAGCTTACTTGTTCACTTCTCATATTAATAACATGTATCGCTATGCTCTATAAGGAGTGCCCTGGGATGCTGTACCTCTACAATTCATAACTCTCTTATTATCGTCTCGTAAGTCATAGCACACTCTTCCACATTACTCTCAGCTAACCACCTCCAACACTACTCCAACAATGGGACTTTTTGTTGTTTTACAACACTCTGTTACTTTATTCGTGATGCGACCCATGAAATCTATATATTATATCATATTATATGTGATATATATATTTTTTTATTTTGTACTGAAATTTATATAAGATAATTATCTTATTAAATTATTATGATTATTATTATTATTATTAAGATTATTATTAGTATTATTTTCTAAAAATTGTTAAAACTCATATTTCTTCTTTATACAAATTATTCTAAAGTTCTTCAAAAACAATGCCCAAAAATAATACAAATTTGGAACTTCATAAATATGATATATATATATATATATTCTTCACCTTCTCATCTATATAGATATATATAAAAATTCTGACCTCCCAACCTTAACGAGCTTACATCAACTTTTCGTACACAAATTTCCAATTGCCACAATAATAATAAAAAACAACATTTCAATCACAAATATTTAACAAAAGCTATGTCAACAACCATACCTCGTTATATACATATGTATGTCTGTACATATAATTTTATTCTTTTATTTTTTTCTTATTGAATTTTGTCGCATATAAAAAAAAAGTGGAATAAAACATTTGCCATGTGTCATCAAATTTCCTCGTGTTTATTTTGTGTTTTATTAAATTTCCCCTGTTTCATTTGTTTTCTTCATACTCTTTTCTTTTTTTTTTTTTTTTTTTGCTGTTTCTGCTGCCAATAGAAATTTTAGTTGATTGTTATATAATTTACGTGTTCTGTGCGCTCTGTCATTAAAAGTCGAAATTAATTAAATTGTATCATTGATATAGGTTTTTCCAGTTTTTTTTTTTTTTTATTTATTTTATTTTATTGTCATTTTTGCGTAAACAAATAATTGTGCAATGCAAACGGACGAACGGACAGACAGACAAATAGAGCAACCTCAGGGCTACGCTCAAACAAGCGGTTTTATTTGAATTTGATTTGAATTGAATTTATGACCGCTGATTTCTAATGTAATATATAGCAATTTATATAGGAAGTGAGAGGGGAAGAGGGAGAGATAGAGGCAAAGGGAGAGATACTCATTTACACTCAACCTGAGGCATGTCTCAGCCCAAATATTAATATCACGGGGCTGGGCTGAGCTGGGCTGGGCTTTATGAGACCCTTTTATAACCTGAACCTCTTGAAAATGGGAAATCAGAGTGCAATGATTTTGTATTAATATGTGTACAAGACTGAAGAAGGCGTCATAGAACCCAGAAGGTATATATATATATATTTCTAAGCACAACGATGAGCTGAGTCTCTATAGCCATTTTTTCGAGTTTATCTGTTCGTGCGTTTGAACGTGGCGATCTCAGAACCTCTGAAGGCTAGGGACTACAAATTTTGTTTGTAGAGCCGTGTATAGCACATACAAATCCAGTTTCTTTTCGAAAAATTGATAGCATAGCCTGAATAGACTTCTAACAACATATGAAATCATGATTCAGGGCTACTCCTATGCGGGCATTCCCATCATTTGTTTCTCAAAGAGACAGCAAAACAATTGTATTACGAACTGACAGCTGACAGCTGATAAAAATAATCAGAAAAAGAAGTTCAGAATTATGTTTTAATTTTTAATACCTGAACATTTCCAGAGTTTCAAGGATTTAATGTGGGACTGAGAATAAATCTGCTGTGGACTTCATTAATTGCCCATAAATAATATTTTATATATTAGAGCATTTAATATTCGGCAACTCAAGCTGTTGCCTTGATCATTGCTTTTGGAAGGGGGGTGGGGGTGGGTTTGGTGTGTGGCAACCGTGTCGTTTACCGCCTGGTGTGAAATGTAATTATGGCGCCTTCTGACAGCCGGTCAACTTCATTCAACGCCCATTAACTTGGGCCCCACTTCACATCTAAGACAAGCGTCAGCCGCCAACCGCCAACAGCCACACGCCTCCTGCCCGCCGCCCGTTACGCAAACTGCTTCTCCACTCCCTCCCTGTCTTCCTCTCTCTCTCTCTCTCTCTCTCTCTCTCTCTCTCTCTCTCTCTCTCTCTCTCTCAGGTTCAGTCAGTCAGCTGCGCTTGTTGCATTTTTCTCGTTGCCTTTTGGCCTTTTGTTTATTTTCTTTTTATGTGTTGGCTCAGCTGGACATTCAGGCAGTGTCGCCGGTCCCGTTGCCCGCCCCAACTCGCTCTCTTTACACAGCTAAAAGGTGGGCAGGGTTAGGGACAGGGGCAGAGGCGGGGGCAGGCAGCCAACTCGAGGCATTCCAGTGCTGGTCACGTATGATGACCCAAATGTGCGCGGCACCTCCTTCGGCTCGTCCAGCGTGTTGCAGTGTTTGTTATTGCTGTAGCTGTTGCTGTTGTTGCTGTTTCTGCTGTTTCTGTGTGTTTTTAATAAAATTTATTACACTCTCACATGACAAACAACAAACACCCCAGCCACCAGCCCTCGACCCGAGCGCCTTACATATTTGTCTAATAGAAAAATTATGGGCCAAGGCAAGCCGCGACGTTCTCCAGTGTGTGTGTGTGTGTGTGTGTGGCAGGAGGGTGGGAGGTGTGTGTGTGTGTGTGTGTGTGTGTGTGTGTGGCGTGGGCCTTAATTTTTATACGCATTCCGAGTCTCTCCCTCACCTTCTCCCTCTCTCGCTCGCTCTTGTCTTTGCCTCGTTTGCCCCATAATTATAACATAAAAACTTTTTATTGAAATGCTGAGGCATTTTTATTTACGTCTCAGCGCGCTAGGGTAAAGGAGCGAAAGGGAGAGAGTGAGAGGAAGTAGTGTGTATGCCCTAATAACAGTTAACGTTTACACACACGCATACCGCACACACACACACACATACACATGTAGACACGCGCATGTGTATTTAGTATTAGCCACAAACTAAATGAAATAAAAGTAATAAACATTTATTTCATTAATTCATAGTTTAGCGCCTGCCGCATATTGTTATTTATATATATGTATGTGTGTATTATGGACATGCATGCGTATATATATATATATATATATATATGTATGTATAATATATATCCACTGATATGGCTTTGAGTGCTGCTTGCTAGATAATAATCATTAAAAACGCACACTCCAATTAGGCAAATTCAATTTGCCTTTTCGAGTCTACGTTAAATGCAAAATTGAACAAAGCAAGTAAGAACGGGCGTTACCGACTGCAGAACACAAATTCACAGCCCATACATTGCCAGATCTCATATTTTATTTCATTACTCGATTTTATCTGCTGTTTAATTTGGCGTTTCTAGCTTGAAAACTTGTACGATACATAGAGATATTATCGATATATGATATCGATATTTTAATTTGAGCTGTCAAATCGAGTATGTTTGACCTTTTCATTCTTTAATCAAAACATTTATTATTCTTTTATGATTTTTGTTTTTCTAATTCAGTTTCTTGTCTAAGACTCCATAATGAGTGGGCCTATATAGCAGTATAAATTTGAATGATGTATATATTCAAGATGTCTGTGATGTTTCTGTGAGAGCAGCATCCTGTTCTAACGACGCTCAAGGGACCGTCGTTTTAAGTTTTCCTGAGGACCAGAATTTTCGTCGCTATATCCGTACAGACGCTATAAGCAGAGCCGTTATAACCAGATTCTACTCTATATTCCAATTGTAAATTCTCTAACGAAGGAAAAGGAAGCCGGACAATGTGAACAAGCTCAAGTACAAATGAATGCAATGAAATGTGTTGCAGTCGAGTATGCTCAACTGCATAATACTCAGCAAAGCTCGAAGGCACAACTAATATATATCTGCATATTACTAATGTATATATTCCATGCAATTGGCTCGCAAATGCATCACAGAGCCAATATGCCCCGGTTAATGCAGCAGCGAGCGGGCATGCAAAAAGACATGTATTTATGTGAAATACTCTATATTATTGGCTCAAAGCAATAATTTGCAGCTAAATTGAAGCAATATCGAAATGGCAGCAGTCACAATAGCCACCACAATAGCAACAATTTCTAAACAACAGAAGAAACCCGAATTTTTGTCAGTTTCCATTATTATTTGTCATGTCCTTTTATTTCATTCAGTTTGCCAAATTCCAAAGAAATACATTTTTTAAAAAGGATTCAAATAAATTGCGAAATAAATTCTGGAAAATGTAAAGTAATTAAAATGGGGGAAGAGAAAAAAAAATATATATATATTTTTTTTTTTTGCTCATTTACTTCTCTTTTCTTTCGTTTAATTTGTATTTGTTAGCTTGTGCAGATATATTTGGTTATTTGGCTATTTGACCTATGCTCTGGCAGCTGTCAAGCTTAACAGGCACATTTAACATGTTGTCAAGGCTTAACAACTGCAACGGCCAAATGATGTCTCACTTTCGCTGTCAGCCCAAAATGAGAATGAGCATGTGTCAAGAGGGCGTGGCAAGGGAAGAAGCGGGAATGCAATGAATACTTGAACACTTTTATCAATAGTTCAAAATTTATGAGCTGTTGCAGTTGTAGCTTTAATTGCGGCATTGACGAGCAGCAAATCGAAAATGAATTCAATAATTCAATGAGGAGCGAACAACTGCAGTTCGGCATTGCCAACTGGTTCCACTGCGCTGGTTCAAACTGATATTTGTTAGTTCCCAACATGCAACGTTCAATTTTTTCTTTGCCCATTTTTTTTTTTTTTTTTTTTTTTTTTTTTGCAGTTGTACAACATGATTCTCACATTATGAGCGAAGAGAACATTTAAGTTGTGTGGGCATAGCTCGTTTTCGTGGCGCTCATTAGTCTGCCTCCCGCCGCCCATCTCCTGTCTGTACCACGTCTCCTGTGCTTCAGCTCCTTTTACCTGCTCCGGCTGGAAGCAGCTCGTTTTCTGCTATCTGCGCACACAATGCCAATGTGTAATGGAGTGGAGTGCATCAAATGGCAATGCGGCACACACGCCAAAGCTGCATTAGCACCACACAACGACGGCAAATCTGGTACGCAATATGGAAAGGGGGAGAGCGAGAGATGGTAGCGACTCACTCTAACCAAACCTCAACCCAAATGTGTTGGCTGTCTGCGAGTTTTTAATGAAAAATTGCCAGAGCGTTATTTGTTTAATGCGCTTCATCAAACAAGAGCAGCGCCGCTGCTTGCCATTTACCCGGCTGGGCCAGCGTCTATATAGTTACCATATCTCCGGAAAGCAGTTCGACCCCACCGCTGCCCCCGCCCCCACCGCACCGCACTACAGGTAGTTCCTGTGCAGGTGCAGGTGCCGCTGCTGTTGCTGTTGCTATTCAATTTGCTTTCAATCGGGTTAAATAAGAAATGCTGAAAGCGAAACCACTAAATGGCTGAGGTATGTGCTGTGTGTGTGTGTGTGTGTGTGTGTGTGTGTGTGTGTGAGTGTGCGTGTCTTGTGTGGCAGCGAAATGTTAATAAATTATTACACATTTGTGGGACCGTTTTATGAAAAATTATACACACAGGCAAGTTTTTATTTAGCAGCACCTTATGAAGCGCTCTCATGTGTCACGATAGAAATCAATTTCAGTTGGCCAGCAGTTCGTTTTCTTGAGTTTTGGGTTGTGCTCCTCCTTTTTTTTTTGGTTTTGATTTGAGCTAAAAAAAAAATGTTTTTTTTTTTTCTTTTTGGTTTGGAATCTAACTCAATTTTTTTTGTTTTGGTCTTGATGCCAACTCAAACTCCTTTTTTTGCTTCTTCATTTTTTGTTCGCGTTCTTGAGTTTTGATTTTTGCTCTTTTTTTTTTAACTTATTTTTTGGTTTTTGATTGTAACTCAAATTCTTTTTCTTTTTTTTTTGCTTTTTCCTTTCCTCTTTTTTTGTTGTGGCTTGCAGGCTTCAAATGCGTATGAGCATTGCGTATGAGGATTGTTACGTTACAAAATATATAAAAAATATAAGTGTGTATAAAAAGAGCTCGGACTGCTGCGACTCTGACATGCGACACACAAGAGAAGAGAGCGCTACATGGAAACAATAATTAAAAATCTCACTCTTTCATAACGTTGCCGTCAACGTCGGACGCCAACTTGTCAGTTGGTTTTCGGACTTGAATTGTTCGCAGAGCATACACTGAAAGAAACCGACAGAGTTTGAAATTCTCAATTCACAATTTACATATAAATACATCTGCTGTAGAACTTACGATGATATGATATGTTAATTCTCCTAGGGAACTATGGAAATTCACTCTGCATCTCTGTGATATGCGACAGCTTCGGTTGTAGACGTGAGTTGATCATGTTTGTTTTTTTATTTATTTTTTTTGTTTGTTGGTGCTGATTTATGTTTGAGTTGCCTGTGCTTCATTTTTCGTGTTTGGTGTAAAATCGGAAGTACGTGTGCTTCCGTGTTGGTCCAATTGTCTTTTTTGCTTAAAATTTGAAATATATTACATATCGAAGGTTTGCGAAGGTCAAAGGTTCGTTCAAGGAAAATTTTGTTAATGCGATGAATGCTTGCTCCTAGATCGGGAATGGGAATTGATGCAGTAGATGAAATTATAAATGGAAATGATATACGTTGGCAATAATAATGAGGACAATTGCAATAATGATAGAAATGATAATGGGAATTTGGATAATGGTTGTGATTTATTGTAATGTATAGAAAATTTATCACTTCCATTAATCATTGGCCATTAGTCATTGGTCATTAGTCATTAGTCGTTGGCCATCGGTTATTGGTTATTGATCATTGGTTATTGGTCATTAGTTATTAGTCATTGGTTATTAGTCATTGGTCATTGTTCATTGGTCATTGGTCATGGATTATTGGATATTGTTCGTTAGTCATAGGTCATAGGTCATTGGACATTGGTCATTGTTCATTGGCCATTGGTCATTGGTCATTGGTTATTGGTCATTAGTCATAGGTCATTGGACATTGGTCATTGTTCATTGTTCATTGTTCATTGGTCATTGGTCATTGGTCATTGGTCATTGGTCATTGGTCATTGGTCATTGGTCATTGGTCATTGGTCATTGGTCATTGGTCATTGGTCATTGGTCATTGGTTATTAATTATTTGGCATTCGGCATTGGCCATTAGTTGTTAGTAATTTTGCATTGGCTATTAGTGATTAGTCATTTGGCATTGGTCGTTGGTCATTGAGCATTGGTTATTAGCTATTGGTCATTAGTCATTGATTATTGGTAATTAGTCAATATTGGCTAATTAAGCATTATTGGTGATTGGTCATTGGTTATTGAACATTGGCCATTAGTCATTTGTCATTGGTTATTGTCATTACGAATTTGGTGTTATCTATAGTCTTTGGTATTATCATTTGGTCATATGACATTGACAGTTAGACATTATACATTACTTATCATTATCACTCATTAGTGATTGCCCACATATGTCAGAAAATATACTCACTTTGGCTTTGGAGGCTTGTACTTCATGCGTGCCTCCATGCGCTTCTTCGCCGATAGTTTGTCATCTTTGCTGGTCCCGTAGGCGACGGTAAAGGCTGCTTTCGCACTCTTCTCCTTGCAGAACGCAAGATGGCTGTCTATGGCTTTCTGGTTGAATTTGCGTTCACAGTATGGACAGCGCTCCAGTGGAAGGGCGTCGAGGCGCCTGCTCGTTGAGGACTCTTGGCTTGCAGATGAGCTTGGCTCTGATTTGCGCTTGGTTTTATTAGTCGTATCCGATCGAGATGGTACGGCCGCAGCCAAATCCTGTTGAGGAGCTGAATCCGCAGTGGGAACGGCCGAGTTCCTATTGGTCACTGTATAAGTTGAATGTGACGTGCTGGGCTGAGGCTCGCGAGTCGACCTGAGGCTCATGTTGTAGTATCTGAATTTTTCGCGACGTTGAAGCGAAGAATCAAATACTTCACGTTTCTTCAAAACGCGAGCACAGATGTCCGCGTGTTTGGTCAGGACACTCGGATTGAATGTGCGATTGCAGTGCGGGCATGCCTGCAGCTCCTCCTCACAGTTATCAGGTATCATTTCATTTAGATCGGATGCCATTTCGCGTTTTATTACTTTGAATCGAAATACGATAATTTGGAAAAGACCGTAAAAATTTGGAATAAAATAACAAAAATAAAAAGCTGGCTTCAATACAAAGGTGCTAGCAAGAATGAAAAAATGTAAAAATATTGGAAGCTAGTAGAGCTCTACCCAGTTACACGTGTGTGAATTGAATGTCAGTGAATTCTATGATGCTTCATAACGATGACTTTTTACAACAGCCAGCAGAGTTGATTTGGGAATAGAAATCGAAAAAATGTTCCATATGTTATCGATTCATGTGAAAAAGTATGTTGTGTAAAACTTGTCAAAGGAGCCAAGGCGAGGGAGAGAGAGAGAGAGAGAGAGAGAGAGAGAGAGAGAAGGAAATATTAACAGCCGTTTCGATATAGTCGTAAATTTTTTAATTGCAATTTTATACTGTTTGCTAAATATTTTCGCTGTATTTAAGTGTATTAAATAAATAAATTGACTGGCATATAAATATATTAAGTTAGCAGTATTCATATTTATAATTAAGCTCTTTTTGCTGCGTTGTCCAACACTGTTTTCGGCATATTTTGCCATAATGTGCCATATTTTGCCATAACAGTTTATTTCGTTGCGTTACCCAACACTGCGTTGCACAGCACTATTTTCGGCATATTTCATTGGCCATGGTTTGCGGTTTTCATTTTGTAGCGTTACCCAACACTGCTTTTGCCCGCAGTGTGCTTTTTTGCGGCATTATCTAACACTATTCCTCGCATATTTCGCTATACGTGGACTGCAGTTTTTCATAATTAAGCTCATTTTGCTACGCTACACGCTCTCAAGTTCGCCTGGACCCCGTTTATTTCGCTCAGTGTAGCTGCACGCAGCTGCGACCCATTGCGATCGACTGGACTGACTGGGAACTGCTTCAAGTCGTTCATTGAATTGAATGTTGAAATGGAATTATAAGACAGACAGCGCTTTATACAAATTATGGCCTGCCCCGGTCTGCCCTGGTCTGGTCTGGATCTGGCTGGGCTTTTGCTGTGCTTTGCTTTGCTTCGCACGCTGCCTGCTGCTCGAGCACTTGACTGGCAGGCGCTGGCCTGCGCTGCATTATGGCTGCCATATTCGCTCTCGCTGGTCCGGCACTCATGTTGCCCCATTGCGTGGCGGCACGTTGCACCGTTCCGGGTGCATTTAACGAACGCATTTTTTATATCTCTCTGCCCCACCATGCCGTCGCCCTAACTCGCCACCTCCCTCGGGCATCGCACGCTCCTCCCCTCTTTGTTGGCTGTGAAGTGATTTCCAAAATGATTATTTTTTGACACATGGGGCAACACCTGCATAGCATTTGACGTCGCCGGCCGCAACGTTGCAGCTGCCACAGAGCAGCGGATCCCAATGCCAAAGAGCCAGCCGCCTTCAATATGCATCAAATGCCAGAGCCATGTCGATGCGACGGCTCCAATACCCAATCCCTCCGCCCCACTCACACAGCTCGTTATATTTAAACACACACATGTGTGTGTGTGTGTTTGAGTGCGAGCGTGTCTGTGTCTGTGTGTGTGTGTGCTGTTTGTGTATAATTATATAATTTGACTGCTGCAATTATGTTGTTCTTCGTTAATTGAAATGTAAACGTCATCATTATGATAAGACGATGTCGAGGCCCGCTCCGACCCGATGTGGGCATTGCGCCCAACTTGTTGTTATTATTGTTAGCGACGCTGACGTGGGCATGCAACTGCGCCGACTGCGACGCCGACTGCGAGCGTGTCAATTCTATTTGTGGTGCCAGACCTGGTGGCAGGAGACGGCAGACGGCAGACGGGAGATGGGAGATGGGAGACGGCAAGCGCTGCACACGCAAGCCAAAGGGCCCAGGCCCGATCGACGGCCCATTAGTGAAGCATATTTCATAAGCCTCCATTTGTTGGGGATCTCAAGTGTTGGCTAACGTCCATACGATATGAGTATTGTCAATGACTATCGATTGATTTAACACAAAATTTCAAAAGAGTGAAGCAAGTATGCTCATCCAATTATTATTGCTAGAAATTGCATATACTTGCTTTATATGCAAATATAAATTATATCATTCCCAAATCTTGTATATAGTTTGATTATTAGAATAATATATTATGTATAGTCCTATCGAGCTATCGATAGAATTTACAGCATTGCTGCTACACGTTGAGCTGGAGTCAATCATTTGAGAGCAGGCGCTGAAATAAACAAAATTTCATATTTTACAACTGAAAGTTAAAAGTTTTACAAGTTTTCAATCATCAACTCGTATCGATTGCAAGCAGTCTGCTCCGTCTGCACTCGCATTGAGGATGCTCACCAAACGTTTGGACCAGCTCCGGGCTATGGCAGTGGCACATAACTTGCTCACGGGCCGCTCAACTGCTGCTCAGCAAGTTGGTCGCATTTACAGTACAAAGAAAATGCAAAATCAACAACAGCAGCAGCAGCAGCAGCAGCAGCAGAAGCAGCAGCAGCCGCAACAGCAGCAGAAACAACAACAACAGCAACCACAGCAGCAGCCGCAGCAGCAGAAGTCGTCCAAGCAAATGCCGCAGCAAAAGTCCTCCAAGCAAATGAAGGAGCAGCAGCAGCAGCAGCAGCAGCAGCAGGAGTCATCGCAAAAGCAAGAACTATCGCCAGAGCAAACACCATCGCATGACGATGAGTCGAAGGGTGGAGCGGCCATGTCGGAAGTCGATTGGCTGACGCAGGAGCTGGCCACCATCAAGGTGGAGCACAAGCAGCTGCTGGACAAGTACAAGCGCGCGCTGGCCGACGGGGAGAACTTGCGCCGTCGGCTGAACAGGCAGATCGACGAGGCCAAGCTCTTTGGCATACAGGGCTTCTGCAAGGATCTGATCGAGGTGGCCGATGTACTGGGCCATGCCACCCGGTCGGTGCCCAAGGACAAGCTGAGCACAAATGCCGAACTGAAGAGCCTGTACGAGGGCCTCAATCTGACGCGCGCCTCGCTGCAGCAGGTGTTCAAGCGGCATGGCGTCGAGATCTTGGATCCGATCAATCAGAAATTCGATCCCAATCTGCATGAGGCGCTCTTCCAGACGGTGGACAAATCGGTCGATGCCGACACTGTGGTGCAGGTCAACAAATTGGGCTACAAATTGCACAAACGTTGCATACGCCCCGCTCTGGTCGGCGTCTCCAAGCGCTAAACAGCAAAGTCATGCAGTGCAAAAAAAAAAATATATATAAATATATATATCTGTATATGAATATGCATATATATGTATAATGCATATATATACATATACATATACATATACATCTATATATATATGTATGTATTCTGGACAGTTCCAAGAGCCATTCAATATCCATAATACCTGTCCACATGGCCACATGGCCACATGGTCAAGCACACATTGTTCGCAAAATTTTCTTTGTCATGCCACAAAATTCACATAAAATTCACATTCACGCACTCAGCCAGCCAACGTAGACAGCTTAAAGTTCTCATAATAAAAAAAAAAAAAAAAAAGGAATAAATCAACAAAAATAAAAATAATAATTATATTCAGTTTGTGCCAAAGGAATTTCAAGTATAACAAATTCAACAGCTTATTGTGTCTTGAGAAGCGCATAGAGAGGCGCAAATGAGTCACAATATGCAACGCAGAGCAAGTTAGCCGATGTGGGAATATATAGAAGAGCGCTGAAATATATGAAGTTACATTTGAGAATTAGTTAAGTTCTCTACAAATAGAGAGATCTAGGGTTATATACAGGATTAAATATATAAACGTATAGCTATATAACTATATGAATTCTTTTACTATCAAGTAATTGCACTAGATGTTGCAATACTTTTGGCAGCTCTGGCTCTTGCTTGGCTTGTATGTCAATCAAATGGCTTATTTGTGAGAAGCACATAGAGCGGCGCAATGGCAATTAAACAGGGCGACGGAAACCCATTAAAATGTTGAGCGGCCATTTGAGCAGTCTGCGGCGCTGCTTTTGGCCCGAAAACTAGGCAAAAGTAGCAAAAATGCCAAAAATCAAGAAAAACTTAACAGACGCTAGTGTGTGTCTGTCTGTCTGTGTATGTGTGTGTGTGCGAAAGTGCGCACAAATATTTTCAATTACAAATTGTATTTTTCCGTTTAGATAAGCAAAATTTATGGCAGTTCCAGCAGCTCGGGCCAGGCAACTGCTTGTAGACGCTACAAACTGCCGCCCCCCCCCACCCCTCTCTCCTTCTCTCTCTCTCTCTTAGTTGGCGTTCAATGGCTTCGCCTTCGATCGTCCTGCGGCAACAAACACTTTTGCGCTTCGCCGGCGACGCAGTTGTAAACAAGGCTGCAACACGGAGAAGAAAAAAAAGCAACAGAAAAAATAATGCAAAGAAAGGAAAAACAGAATAGAAAAGCCAGCGGAAGAGCAAGAGAGATGGGGGAGAAGCAAAAGGAGCAGCAGCAGACGGCGCAAAGGACCAAGCGACGCCAAGCGGCAAAAAGCGAGCCGCCCGCCGCCAGAACGTAGAAAAAACTACGGAAAAGATGAAATGACGTACAGATTTACAGAGTATTTTCTCTTACGTGCTTTTGTGGCGCCGCCAAATGTCACGTACGGCAGACACACCGAGCCGCAGGTGGGGCAAGCTCTGCAAATACATGTGCGTGTGTGTGTGTGTGTGTGTGTGTGTGTGTGCCTAGTGTGCGTGTTTGTGTTTGGAAGGCGTGCCACATCGCTGGGATGCTCGCTGGGCTCATTCTAGTCTCGGTCAGATCCCAGACCAAATGAAATGCAATGCGAGATGCGAGATGCGAGATGCGAGATGCCTCGCAACTCATTACAAATGAAGACTCAACAAGGCCACGTTTGACCCCAGCTACGAGCCGGAGTCATGCAGTGCCCCAAAAATTCCCCGACACGCCCCGTGGACAGCGGTCAGCCAGCCAGTCGAGTCGCTCAACGATTCGTAAGAAAAGTTTTCACTTGGCTTTCGGCCACAGTACGCAAAATGCTTGCACTTCAAATTGAATTAGAGTGAATATAACAAAAGGTGAAGGTGTTGGTGAGTGGGGAGAGAGAGAGAGAGAGAGAGAGAGAGAGAGAGGGAAAGCTGGCGAAGAGGTGGGCGAAGATTGGGACTGCGGGGGAGTGCACAACGTGCTGCTGCTGCTTGACAAAAAGTTTGCCATCAACGTCTGGGGCATATTAAAGTCGAAGGTGTTGCAGCAACGACTGGGCGTGGCATCCGCAGCGCCTGGACATGGCACGTTTGTCGCTGTCATTTGCTTACTTTTTTATTATTTTAATGCTTTATTGATAAGTCGTTTATACACACACACACACGCACTTGCACGCAGACCTATGCATATATATCGTATATTCAAATTTCCAATCACGTGCGTAGCCCAAAGACGGAAATTACAGACGACTGCTGCGGCCAGAGAGAAAGGGGTATAGAGAGAGTGATACAGTGAAAGAGAGAGAGAGAGAGAGTGAGTGAGTTGAACACTTTGGCTACATTAAAAAACTCTTAACACGATCGACTCTTAAACGTTATTAATCAATTATCGATCAGCCAAAACATAACAGATGTCATATGTGTATATGGGCTCATATATACGCGTCTTTATGGCTATGCAAAGTCTTTTAGCTTTCTCATAAAATCAACATCAAGCCGAGGCGAGTCAATATAGATATCGTTATTCTATCTGTTGCCACATCTGCGTCTTTGTTTTTTTTTTTTTTTTTGTATATAAATAAAACATAAGAAACTCGATACGTTGATTGGCAGAGTGTTTATGTATGTAAATGGATGCGTATGTGTCTATAGGAGAGCTTTGCTGTTACGATATGCCTCATGTATATGTATATATGGAGAGAGTCTTGCTGAGACGATATATCAAGAACACGATATGTGTGAGAGTCTGGCTGATACGATATTAAGAATAAATGCGTGTGATATTCTCATACGATATTGTATATATAATATGACTATCGTATGAGAGATGTCTTTACGATATGTTGGAGATATATTTGTGAGTCTTTATTTTACGATATTCATGGCATATGCAATGTATGACATATTTTTACGATTTAGCATATTCTTTTCTGATACGATATTCACAATGAATACAATTTATCATATTAGCTCCAGTATATCCATAGCTCCAGTAGTTATTAATATATGCGATATGTGAGTGGATCTGGTGTAATATATATTGACGATATTTGTAAGAGTCTTTATGTTAAGATATTGATATTACATACGATATATGTCAGTCTGAGTTTCTATGAGAGTTTCTAGAGTTTTTGTGTGTTACGATATTGAGTGTGTAAACGATATATGGTGTATGTGTGACTGATACTAAAGCGATAGTGACAATATTTACGATATTCGTGAGTGTCTTTATGTTGGGATATTTACAATAAATACGAAATATGTGAGATCTGTTCTGATACGATATTGATCATTTCGTTACGATATATGTGACTCACATAATGTGAGAGCTGATACGAGATGATGTTGACAATACGAGATGGTATTGACAATATATACGATATAGGGGGAAGTCTTGCTGTTACGATATAAATACGTGAAAGACTGCTGATATAATTTTTACAATATATACGACATATGATAAAGTATTTCTGTTGCGCTATATTTTTCGCTTACGATATTGACGCTATATGCGCATCTTGCTGCTACGATATTGACATTATATGAATATGAGCATATTAATTCGTATTTCTTCTTACGATATAGACATTATATATACGAGTATGAATAGGAGTTTATTTACTTCTATACATGTATGCAAACAGAAAGAATAAACCCATTTTGTGTACCTTACAGGGTATTCGAGTGTGGCAAAAGTATTTAAAAGTTGCTTAAAGATACATTTCAACTTCTATTTAGTTGGCGGCATCCGTCGCTGGGGTAAACAGCAGCAAAACGGCAGCAATTGCTAAGTTAATTTTCATTTGCCGCTAGTGGGTTGCGATAAGCGACGAGCGACGAGCGACAAGCAACTAGCTACAGTGAAGCCTCGACTTTCGCAAACACACACACACACACGCACACACGTACACACTTTATTTGCTTTTCGAGCACTTTTACGCAACCTGATGCGCGACTTAACAAATTGCTCACACTTTCTGGCTCAAGCTACGAATCGTTTTTAATGCGTCCTTAATTAGTCTCGATGCAATTATATCCGTGTGTGCATGGGTGGTTGGGTGGCTTGATGTGACTGTGTGCGTGTGTGTGTGTGTGTGCTGCCAATTTTGTGGCACATTCGATATTTACAATTGGCCGCATTACTTGAGTTGCAGTTGACTGGCGGATGAGGGACCCTTAGCCACAAGTGTGGCGCCACTTGGCAGCAGTTGCTGTTGCAATTAGTTGCTTGTACTTCATGTACACACACGTGTATATAGGTATGCGTATGTGTGTGTGTGTGTGTGTGTGTGTCGATAAATCCGCAGCTTGCTCAATGTTGAGCGTTTTAATTGTTTGCCATTTGTGTGCGGGCTGTGCGCTGGCATGTGGCATGTGGCAAATGGTAAATGGCAAGTTGCAAGTTGCGAGTTGCAAGTTGCAAGTCAAAGGAACTGCTTATGCCACCTTGCTTGCAGCAAGCTCGTGTTTTTTTCCCCTCTCTCTCACACTTTTTCATCTCGTTTTTTTTTTTTTGCGCTGCAGCATGCCAAAAGCTTTAAGTTGCAATGCACACACACACACACACACGCACAGATGCATGCGCCATGTGTACTTATATTCATATCCATATCCATATCCTTGTGCTGCAGCTGCAGCTGCCGCAAATTGCGGCACGACTTGTGGCATGCTCCACTTTTATTAACTTTTTAATGCAGCGCTGCCAGAGAAGTCATAGCTAAGCCCCGTGCCCCACTCCACTCCCGCTTGCCCCATGCCCCGTGCCCCATGCATCCGTCTCTGCTGAGTTCGGTTCAAGAGTTTTGCTAGCTTTTATAAGTTCATGTCTAGCAGCTGCTGGTGGCTCAGCTCCGGTTCCTGTTGCCCTGTACTGCCCCCCACCCCACCCCTTCTCCGCTCCCTTCCCTTCGCCTTGCTAGTTCCAGCTGCTAACTTCCAACTCTCTCTTTGTCTCTCCCCCTCTCCCTCTCTCTCCCTCTCTCTCTCTCTCTCTCTCCCTCGCACTCATTGTGCTTGCAGCTCCTGTTTAAGCTCGTGAAGTAGTTTCTGTGGCATTTTTGGTGGCTTTTGGCTCATCCTTGACATGCAAATGCCTCAGCTACTGCTTTTTCAGCTGCTGCTGCTGCTGCTGCTGCTCCTCCTCCTGCTGCTGCTGCTGCTGTTGGCTCTTCACGGTGCTTGCTTTATTGGTTGGTAAAAAGTTTTTGGCCGAATTAATTACATTTTATTGGGCTGCAGCCCTTTTGGCCGGATGAAGATGTTTTCTTTTTCTTTTTTTTTTCTTGTGTTGCTTTGTTTTGTTTTTCCTTGTTCTGAGCTGCGAAATTCCAGTGTGCAGTCAAGGGTTAAGGTTCA